CGAACGATTAGATCAGTTGCCAAACACCAGGTCTGATGTGCTCCCCCTTGGTCAAGCACGCTTCAATCAAGCACAAACCATTGGGGAAGATATTGGAAGAGATGTGTTTTCCCACAGTGGAGTATTGCAGTTTTGGGCCCTCCAAGTTGGCACTCCATACAGACAGTACCTCCAAGCCTTGTGCTTCATGCGCTTCATGCAATGCACTGTTTCTGGCTAAACCATGCTAAAGCTCCCAAGTCCTTCAAGGACTTCAAGGAAGTTGAAGGAAGACATTCCCATACCACCTCATATCACCAAGTGTATGGACAGCCGTGAAAACCCAGATTCTCTGGGTCAGGCGATCCATCGAGCTTTGTGAGGCGTCCGATGCTCCTCCCTTGGCGCTGCCAGAACGGCAGGCAGAGAAGGAAGTGGGGGGGGGGCTCCTCTGGGGCCTGGGGTGATGCGAAGGTAAGTGGTTTGGGCTGATTTGGAGGACATGACATGACCATGTGTTCTGATTTACCCAGACACCAAATGGGACTGGCAGTGGGACTGGCATATTTGCCAACATTGGAGTGGTTTCAGGGGTCAATGTAGGCACATAATAATATATATATATATTACATATTCCACCTTGGTTGCATTCCTGATCTTTGCGCACATGCGTAGTAATTGTCAGGAGAATAGGTGGAGGTGCTAATCCTCTTGTTTGAGTTGAGGTATTGGGGAATCTAGCTGTGACCTTCCACCAGCAACCGCAACACGAAGCTTCAAGTCACAATTGAACCAATCATGTGGCGGTCCAATTCCTTCACCCAGGACATTGAGGTATTTTTTTGAAGCAGACAGACCTGGAACCAAAAGAAATCCGAAAACCGCATTCCCGCTGACAATTCTCACTCATCAGAGGGTGCTCACTGCGGTATCCAGGCCGCCAGTGGCAGTGCCCGTCGCCGCTCACGGGCGCGTAGCCCACCGGTACCGCCAGCTGTGTCAGGAACCTAAATGCAGAGGGGACTCGATACCAAACCAATGTGAAGAAGTGATGAATTTCAATCTCGCCACAGACTAAGAGAATGTGATCAGATGAATCCACTGCTGATCAATGGGAAAGAAGCAAGCCATAAGTCATAATACATCATCCAGCATCCTTCTTTTGATGAAGGTTCCAGCATTATGTCAAATATCATCCAGCAGGCATTTTTTGATGAAGGTTCCTGGTTTTTGAAGGGGATGAATCCGAGATCCCAGTGTAATCATGTGTGACATGCACTACGTACAACGCCCTCCCAGCTTGGTGGCCAACCTGCCCCTCCTACATAATCGTGATATATCATGATACCTCACTATGCCTCAGATCCAGATCTGTCTTGGTCTCCCCAGGCCCGAGCGTCATGAAGCGCCGCTGGAGATCGAGGCGGCGCATGGAAGCGATCTAGCGGCGCATGGAAGCGACATTCGGACGATAGATAAATAGATAGTATAGGTTCAGATTCTCCAGAAGATGGCTATATATATAATATATATAATATGAATCACAAGGTGCTTGGATGCTTTTGGGGTAAGTTTTCTTTTGGGGTTTCATGGTGTGGAACAGATCCAATAGATTCTTTAAGTTTTGCTTAACACGCGATGACTGAGATGATGTTGAAATTGACATGTTCGACTGGAAGAGATGTGCAACATATTACCCTGAGTTTGAGCACACCAAGTGGTGGTGCTTTTGTTAGTTGTTCTTTGAGGATTGATATTCTGATTGTTATACACAACTAGATAAACAGATAAACATCGAAAACAATAAAAACAAGAGCCTTTTCGCAGCGGACGACCGTTGGGATGATGCCGTTATTCATCCAACAGATCATGTGCACTCTTGATTATACTCGTACTGTGTGCGCATGACATCCAACACTTCGGACCGGTTTGACCCTTGATTTGCAGCGTCATCCATCCGTTTGATGGGATGGAAGAGTGCAACTCCTGGATTCTGGATGCAGGTAAGAAAAGCTGAGGCTTGTGAAGGCTTGTGATCCGCAGAAGAGGTCAGGTCAAGCTTGGTATGCCTTGGTCAAGCTCATGTCAAGCTCCCTTCCTTGGGAACTTTCTGGGAGACTGTAATTTTCTGGATAGTGTTTAGCACCAACTAGTCCTAGCACCAACAAGCATGAAGTACAGATGCAATGTTTATCGCTTGTGGCCTTGATATTTGGACCAATTGCTCACTCGTCAAGGCTCGATCACTAGTTTTTGAACCTTTGGGCAGAGAGTTGCTGAGCTTGATGAGGATGAGTTGCGGCACATACATACTGTATATTGGAAAGCACGTGGGAAAACGGTTCAGGACCTAAAGATCCTAAAGCGACGTTTTTCAGCTCAGGTTGGGTGCTCCAGGTTTCAGCAAAGACGAAGTCTTTAAATGCTGAGCATGGCGAATTGAGGATGACTCGCCTTCTTGACCACTGCCAAGTGTACCAGATGGTAACCCAGCCCATTTGTACTCCTGATGAGATTATGGAGGAAGAACTACTCCAGTACTGCCAGGAGAATCACGTGAGTCACGTTGAAAGACTGCTTCAAAAAGCACAGCACCCAAGCGGAAGAGCTTTGTTTGCCCAGAACGGCTACAGACCTCGAAGTGGTCCGAGTGTGATACCTCGTGTTGCTCCTGACAATGGCTCCCTGCAAGATGGTTCTCCTTTGCCAACCAGTGGGTTTTCAGATGCTTTCAGGGTCCATGAGATCGTCTTCAGCGGTTTTTTGCGGCTTTGCATATGGCCGTCCTGAATTGCCACTTGAAAGATCTTGAAAGTTGAATACGTGATTGTTGGTTGCTTCAAGCGAGAGCTGACAAAGGTGCATCAAGGAGTCAAAGACAGAGAAATTGTCCTTGCTTTGAACATTCGTAGTGGGAACATCACTGGGGCTGACCCAAATGGTTTTTCTTTATGTCTATTCCAAGAGCACACTGCAGGCACAGATAGTGAGGCCAGGAGAGCCCCAAAGAGCCCTGTTTTCTCTTCCGAACTCCCTTAGAGCATATACTTTGGATTACTTTGGTATGTTTTCAACGAGAAATTATATAATAGAACCCGCAAAAATTAACAACCCAAACAAATCATCCCAAGAACACCATAGAACACCCACTTCACCATCGTTGCGATGGTTTTGAAGCTTCGGACGGTGAAGTGGGTCTTTTTGCAGAAGCTCCAGACGCCACGATCGTGAAGCATCCCAGACCCTTCACCCACTTCGCACCTTGTCATCGTTCGGAGCACCCCATCGTAACTCGATCGATCTCTCCGACCTGCATCTGCAGGTCTCAGCTAGCACGCAGAGGCAGGTTCTAAAGGGGAGGGACTGCCTCGGGTCCGGCCAGAGGCTTTGAATCGCTGAGTGGAATGATATTATATACATTACAATACTCAGATGCTCCATGTAGGAATGTGTATACCTACATTGACCCCTTTTCAACCACCATAATGTAGGTCGATATATGGTATTAAATATATTCAATATGCCCTACATGGACCAATGGAGTGTTTGGGATATCAATCAAACAAGCCACCCAGGTTGGAGGTATATACCAGTAGTTTGTAGACGTTTTTAAAGCTGTAGCACAGTCAACCTGTGTGCCACCTATCGAAAAGGCCTAGATAATCGGACTTCGATCCACACGTAGCATACACCTTGCAGAACAGTCTCTCCTTTTGTAGTTGTGGATTTTCTGGTGGTTTCTGGGCTCTCTCAACAAGTCTGTCCAACTTGGAAACGCCCAAAGATCACATAACCTTAAAACCCTTGAGACATAGCTCAGGCCTCCCAAACGGAGCTGCCAAACATTGTCAAACCAAAAGACAACAACAAAAATCGACATAGCGTGGAATCAACGCCAACGTGACAATTGATGACGAAGGGAGAAACATGCAAGGAAAAACAATGGACACTTTAAATAGAACTTTTTTGGTGATGCAAGGATTGATATTAAAAGCATAATATAATATGATCCTCACAAATCATCAAACCATGCATGTTTCTCTGAAACCACCCGTATGTTTGCTTCCAGTCTTTCTATATTGACATCACCTCTTCCTGTCCCTGAGCTCGGACTGCTCCATGCTGCTGGATCACGATTCAACAGCTAAATACAGCTGAACTTGGACAGCTCTCAGGTTCTGGCTCTCCTACTGGGCTTCATGGCCCCTCTTGATGCTGCTGGAAGGGGGCTTGCCCTCGTTGCTGGACTTGCTGGATGTCCCAGAGGCGCCGAGCTGCAGCGCGAGCGGGTGTCGATGTCAGTGGTCCTACATATAGAATGCTTGCAAAAACCACTCGGGAAGACGCAGGCGGGTTCTTTGGAACGGAACTAACACCACTGGAAGGTTCCGAATTGATTTCATCCGGATGTCCTCCAAGACACACAACAGGTAGCTTTTGCCCCTCTGGCAGACCATAACTTCGGGTGACTAGGGGACGTGTTCAATCACGTTGAGCACACGACAGGAGCTTCATGATTTGTCGCTAGCTTGCTCAGGGCCTCAGGCTCCAGATTTGCGGCCTGGAGACTGCCTGCGTTACGTAGAAGCTGGAGCAGAGCCAACCAATCAAAAACAACGCAAAACATTTGCCGGTTTGCGTATTTCTTTCAACCTCCCACTCAAGTGGACCTTTGTCAACGTTTGGGGAAGTATCGTGATGAAGTCCTGTTTTGTTGGGATTCCAATGATTCAAACGTTCAAGCACTTACATGATACTGATTGTTAATGGATTCTTTATATATACTTGGGCAATGTCATGATCCCAGACGGAATTCCGAGTCCCAAGACGTCTTTCCGACCTGCCGATATGGGCTCGATGGGCAGCGCTCGAAACGGGCGACTGACTGCGAAATGTCCAGTCTGAAAGAGCATCAAAATATCAGAAGCAGCACGGGCAGCACGGGGAAAAGGACCACAAACCTTGCTCTTGGCCAATAGTGAGGCTCTGTTCAGAGATTTTTGTGAGGCTCCGAACCAGTCATGGGAGGTGAATGGACCTTCCTGATTAAGCCCAAAGCTGGCTTGTCTGCAGCGCAATGGCAGTCAGAGTTGAGAAGAGTTCGGAAGAAGTTTGCCAGTGTCATTGGCCTAGAAGCTGGCACAACGACATTCTTTGCTGATGCAGACCACCCAGAGTCCATGAACGACAATGTGTTTGCCCGATTCACCTATGAAGGTGAATGTCATCATGGAGAAAGTGGCATGTGGTGTCTTCCATGGGATCCGTGGCAGAAAGTTCCAAAAGGGCACATTCATGCTAGATGTGCACCATACAACTTTGCGAGATATTCTTATGAGATTCAACGGCACCTGGAGAATGCCTTTCCAGAAAGCATTCTTATCGAATGGGGTGATGGCATCGATGGATACAATGGAAGCTTACTTCGGTCCAGGGGTTGGAGATACCATTATGCAAAGTACTTCCCAGAAATCCCTCGGCCTTTGCCTCGAATTGACATCTCAGATTTGCTTTTGGATGTGCGGTCACAGTTGGGCCTTCAGTTGTTCAGCGCCATTGTTCATGAAGACGAGGATATGGTCTTCAGGCTGATTGCAGAAGAGCAGCTTGACATCAACTTTATCGCTCCTTATGGGCCGGAGCAAGCCAATGAGAATGGGAAACGCCACTTCGTGCGACGAGTGAGCGCAGTGCGTTTGGCAGTTGAACAGCTGGTGAACTCGCCATACAAAGTGGACCATCCTGAAGTTCTTGTGCAGCTGCGAATCCTGCAGATGATCCTGTTCAGGGACCCAAAACTTGAGTTTCCCAAGTTTCGGTCTAGCTGGCAGGATGAGACAGAAGATTTGGCGCGGCATGTATTGTTCGATGTGGTTGGGTACGGCGATACACTTTTGGATGGTCCATCTTTCACTCCTTTGCAATCAGGGCTTGCAGAGGTTCGGATTCGGATGACTCTACTGCACAGGCTTCTTCCTGCATTGAAGCAGCGTGGGCTGTTGCAGGCGGCATTGGTAAAGTTGGAGAGAACAGAGCTGGAGTGGCTGATTGACAAAAAGCCCGGCTGGCAGTTAGTGAAGATTTTGCAAGTATTCCAAGGACAAGATGAAATCCGGAGCGAAAGCTTGGTGTCTTCATGATGGCCTTCCGGAATCATTTCTTGATGAGCTGGATGCTCTCGATCTGAATATCAACAGGAAAGCCACCCAGCCCTCAATGTTTGCGGAATCAGATCTAGTTCATGGAAGTGAAGCACTGACATTTCTAGCCTGCAGAAGGGCATTGGCAGAGTCAGCAGAGGGGCTGTGAACGTCCGATTTGCGAGGGAAACAGCTGGGAACAACCCACTTTATGCATTTGAGATTGGGCTGCGAGTCAAAACCTGGAGCCCGGAACTCACCCTGGTAGGTTGATCTCCCTGGTAGTCTAGTCTGTTCATTTTCGGTGGTCAACCCGGATGGAGTTTTTTGTGTTTGTGTCGTATTTTTTTTGGGGGGGCAATTTTTTGTGTTGCGTTGAGGGATCTTTTTGGACATGTTTGGACCTGCTTCTTGTTGTTTTTCTTCCCTGTCATTGTAAGTTCTCCTGTTTATCTTTATTTTTTGTGCTTGCCTTGCTTCTGCGTGGTTGCTCCTGCTTTTCTTGTTTTTTCATGTTTTTTGGCGCTTGTCTTGCTTTTCCTCGCATTCGTTTGCTGTTCATTGCTTCCCAGTGATTTCTCGTGCTTAAATACTGTTCCTGTTTCTTTTGCGCTTGTCTTGCTCTTCCTCTTGTCCTCTTGTGGCGTACTGTTTCCTGTCTAAACTGCGTTTGTTTTCTATGGCCTTGCTACCGTCGCTTTATTAGTTGCTTTTCATTTTAGAGCCTTCAGTTTGTGCTGCTTTATTATTGCTTTTCTGGCGTTCTATACTTTTCCTACATGTGCCTACCCTTAGGTTTTCTGCTCTAGTGATTGTTGCGTGTTTTGTTTCACCTCAAGGGTTGTTGTTGTTGTTGTTGTTGTTGTTGTTGTTGTTGTTGTTGGTAGAGACAAAAATAGCTGCCCAACATAGTTGTCACATGTTGCAAGTCAGGGATTTCAAAGGGACACTGTTAGGGATAGGGTCGAAGGTTTGGAGAGATGTTAGTAGCTGGACTTCTTGTCGTTGTGGTGCTCAAGTCTTGGTTGGTCTGTTTTTTGTTTTTTGATGTTTTTTTGGGTGTTGTTCTGGAGGGGGGGGTCAAAAAACAACAACGGGGCTGCATATTTTGTTTCTGGGGGGGGAGAGACAACAACATCTTTTGAGGGGGGGTCCAAAAAAACAACAACGGGGCTGCAGCTTTTGTCTCTAGGATGTGGTAGAGGTTCTAAGTAGAAGTTTTACAGGGGCGTTGCTGACCGGACTACCACTACTAATACTACTACTGCTGCTGCTGCTACTACTGCTACTACTGCTACTGCTACTGCTACTACCACTATCACTACCACTACCACTACTACTACTACTTCTTCTACTACTACTCCCACGACCACTAGTACCACTAGTACTAGCACTAGTACAAGCACTACCACTACTGGTAAAAGTACATGTTGGCTGGTTGTTTTCGGGGGGGGTCAAAATAGCAACGACGGGGTTGCAGATTTGTTTCCAGCCCCTTGTAGAGACAAAGCAACAAGATATCTTGTAGCGGGTGCAGTTTTTTTTGGTACCTTGTTGTTGTTGTTGTTGTTGTTGTTGTTGTTTTTCCTTGTGGTCCAGTTGGTTAATATATTTTTGCACACAGACCCTCGACGCCCTGAAATAATCATCGACATGGAAAATGGTCTCCTGGACAGTGATGCTTCCATTGCTTGTTGTTTTAATATTTCTACACTAAATGTTCCACCTCCTAAAGTCTGTCTTATTGATAACTCCCTCATCTGCCTTTTTTGTATTCTGTTCTGTTGTTCCTTCCATAATTCTAGGTGGTCTAATCCATCAAAGAAACTGCCTTCTGGCGATGCCTTGAAGAATGTACCGGTTCTGTCTGGAAGGTCGCCCGTTATGGTTTCATTTTCCTTTTATCAGATTAGCAATCTCTTGATATGTGGGTCGTCTCTTTAGTCCATATTTACTATAAGGGTTTATAATTGCTAGTGTTGCAGTTTCCACTTTTATAAAGAAGTTTAAGAAAAAGCTAGATGTTTGAGTGGTTTAACTCTGTCTTCTAAATGTTGCTTTGACATGTAAGGTAAGTTTGGAGGAGATAACTCATTAGTTACTCTGTCCATAATTAGACCTCTTGTTCGCTTCTATCATGTCTTTTCTTAATAAAAGCATTGCTTCCCTTGACTGCCTTAATCTGGATTCTGTATGTAAATGGTCTAGGTATGAAGTATCCCTCAAATCAAAGGGGCTGAAGTTCATTAACTGCTTTTGAAGATGAACACGGTTGCCAGTTTTTGCATTTCTTTTTTGGTATTTCATCATTGTATATAGTATTATATAGATTTTTCCATCATATACAACACTTGCGCTTTCTCTCAATTCCAGAACAGTCTATGAAAGCAGGTGGCCAAAAACCTCAGTAATTTGCTCATTAGGGTCAAGTGCTCCTTCTGTTCCCTTAATTGTGAAATTTGTAATTCCCGACATTTTTACGTTGTATCCGGTCAAATTGACGTCCGCCATTTTCTCAAATGACATACCTATTACGAATTTATTACTTCTGTATTGTTGATACGAACAACTTAAAAACTATGTTGGTCTGGGTTCATGTAATGTCTTCTTAAATAACGAAACGCTTCTGATAAACTTTGACTTTCAAATCCTGGATATTTCTGCGAGTTGCTCAATTGAATTTGCCAACTTAAATTACGTGTTGCATTTTGGAAACCTCTACCATATTGGTCTTCTGTGTTGGCGGCTCCTGTGTCATTAACTCTTCCATATATCATTGGATTGTAGAAATAGTTCCATCGCTTGTATACATATCTGGCAAGAAACGGTTTAGGTTTTCGCCACTTCTAGGTGCTCTAAATAAGCTGATGAAGGCACCAGTCAATTTAGAAGATTATTTTACAATACTCAGCTTAATTTCACCACCTCTAGCATTGAAGGTTTGAGTGATCGTGTGATACATCGGAAATAGCTAATTTTAATCATTGAGCCTGTAATAAGTGTTGAGCAATGTTGTTATTGACGGTGTTGTCTAATGTAGTTATTTCCGCCCTTGCTTCACGAGATATATGGATCAAAACTGAAGGCTTGCGGATCCAATTGAAAGAAGAAGGGTCGCTATAAAAAAGGGCTATGCGGCTAGGGGTCAAAAAGAAAGCGGGCGGATCGCGGTTCTGGGTCAGAAAGAAAGGAGAAGGGTTTGTGGGTCAGAAAAAAAGGGTTGTGGGTCAGAAAAGAAGGGTTGTGGGTCAGAAAAGAAGGGTTGTGGGTCAGAAAAGAAGGGTTGGGGGTCAGAAATGAAGGGTTGTGGGTCAGAAAAGACTGGTTGTGGGTCAGAAAAGAAGGGTTGTGGGTCAGAAAAGAAGGGTTGTGGGTCAGAAAAAAAGGATGTGGGTCAGAAAAAAAGGGTTGCGGGTCAGAAAAAAAGGTATCCCGCTTTCCGCTTCCACTGGAGGAACTATGGAGAAACCACGGCCGCAAAAAAAAAATCCCAAAGGCAACGCAAAAAATCTCCAAATGAAAAAGCACCCAACCGTAACCAGGATCACGATAACGCGGACAATTGATCCTGACATGGGCTGTCTTTGAGAAGACGACGGAGCTATAGGTCATTGGTTTCACACTGTGCCAGCACCCTCACTGCCAGGCCTCCTCGAGGAGTGGGAAGAGCAAGGTCTCAATTGGTGACCTCTAAAAACGGGTGTTGGTACTCTCCCTCCCCCCAGAAAGCTTGCTGACTCGGTGGCTTTCCTCACCCACGCGACCGTGTGAACTGAGCGTCGACGAAGGTGGAACTGGCCAAGAGACGTCTTCGGCAGGGGCTGCTCATCTTCGTGCCAGGTGCTCAGTTGGACATATTCCAGTCCCGGTGTTTCTTTATCCGAGACAGCCCGGCCCAAACAGATAGCAGAACACTTTGTGAGATTTGGTGACAGTATAACATCCACTTCTTGATTTGAGCATGTTTTGCTGCCCGCTGTCGTTTTGGACAGTTTGTGCCTGGATAGTTTTCAGTTCCTTCATTTGTTTTTTTTGGTTTCCAACATCACTACTTGTCAAAAAGAAGCAGAGTAGAATCCTTGACCATCCAGCACGTGCAGATCTGATTGGGAGAACGCAACCGCAACCTACTTGTGAAAATGTGACTATCCAGTCCAAAAAAGAGAGACCAGGCATCCAGGAATCACCAAGAGTGTTGGCTCATGTTTGTAAAGTTCTAAGACTCAATCTTCGACTCCTCGCCAAGATGAATTTCAGCACACCTAACCCGCCCAATGCCGGTTTTGCTGAAGGGTTAGCTCAGGATTTGGTTGCAACTGTGGCAAGGCAGCAGGCTGCAGCTCGCCATGTTGTGCCTTGGATCATTTTGATTGCAGGTGCAACAGGGTTGTGCATCAGCAGCCACGCTATAGCCTGTTTCGAATCAACGCAGGGTGGACACCACGGCGGATCTCCAAGCTCAGACAGGTCTCAAGAACCAAAAGACCAATGAAGCAAACAGACGCAACCAGAAAGGACCCCAGGTTGAATATGGTCTTCATCTTGTTTCAGAATCCTTGCTGTATTGATTTCACCTAGTTCTAGAGTGGACCCCCATGGTGTCCCTCCTGCCATGCGAGAGCCATAGCCATAGGCTGCGGCGGGACCAGCCATGTTTGGCCACTGGCCCGGTCGGGACCAGCCATAGAGGGGGGGAGCGGAGCGGATAGAGGGGTCCGGTCCGGTCCGGTCCAGTCACCATCGCTCAGAAAAACAAAAAAAACATCACTCGAGCTTAGGGACCAAAGCGGAACATCCACTGTTGCAGGGAATGCTATATACTGTAGACCCATTAGATATCAGATTGATCCCACTGATTCATGGTTCATTCAAGTGAGTTGAAACATGTTGAAACCACCGACAGACAAGCGTTCAAAAACCCACTTGAAGCGCTGAAACAAATTCAACACCATGGGCTTGTAAGGGCGCCTTCTTCGATCAACAACTGTGGCTTTTGCGGATCGGGTAATTCACAGACACTCCATGCGACTGCCATATATGCCGCCCCATTGACCCCCAGTCAACCACCCCAACTGATCAATATATGGCAGTCCCAAGGAGTGTTTGGAATGGTTACTGTCCTGGTTTCTGGGTGAATCCCCTGGTCGGGTCCTTGGACCGCCAAGTGAAGAACATCGGACGGTACTCAGGACTGCAGCCTCCAGCGATTCGCATGTGTTCGGGTTCGGACCTGATTGGCTCCCTTAGGCGGAGGCTTTCAAAGCTCATGTCGGCAGCTGAGGGGCCAGGGTGGAAATCCCCAAGCTGGCAAAGAGCTTCTCGTTGTGAGTGACCTGAAAGGAGGACATGTTCTGGCTTTAGAGTTCAAGAGACGAGCTTCCACAATAGCTTTCTACTCCCAAAAGACTTTTTTTGAATGCAAAGTTGTTGAAGACATCGACCTCTCAGAACAACCAGAGAATGTGGGGGTAGGACTACTAGCACGTTCAGCTTAGGAATCAGTCTTGTTGGCCACCGAATAAAACCTGCACTGGAATGTCTAATTCTAAATCTTGAGTTGCAGAAGCCTGAAGCCGAACGTTCGCCCTTCGGATGCAAGTGTTTTTTTGAGCATCACCTGTTGCCCCTGCCCACAGAGCTCTCGGTCAAACTGCTAGGATGGTATGTGGGTATTTTGGGGTGCCAGAGAAACATCATCAGAATCCATCAAGGACCCCAATTAAATTCCCATGAGCATGCTTTGTGACCCTGAGCAGCCTAAGAGAATCTCCGGGAATCTATGAGCTTTAAAAACAGATTGTAATTGTAAGTTGAGAGAATCTATCTAAGAGCATGTTTCATCAAAAGGTGTGCAGTTCCTTTGCCTCAAATCCTACCTCTTCCCACTAAGGCCTGAGACCGTGCCCAGTCTGGGGGCTTTGCCAATGATGCAATACCTGCAGCTCCTTCAAGGCAGCAAGCGTCACCGAATCCTCCTGGGCAACATCCTGGGAGGATGGGCGGATGGGTTTCAGTGAATGTGAACATGGTTCCAACCTATCTTTGGGACAAAGAAATTTTTGGAACCTTAAGAAAGTAAAGCGTTGTGCTTGTGTTTTGAGGAGTCCAAATAGCTCATGAATAGCTTGACTGGTTCTTTCAGGCCTTGGAATTGGGTGGAACCAGTGGTGGAACAACACGTTCCAATGTGTTCCTGCTTCAGTTCCGCAAACGTCCTGCCTTTGTGATCAAGCCGTCGTCTACGTCCCGTCGTCCATACCTCGACGGTCTGAGCCTTCAGCCTAGCGTGGCGTAGCTGCCAGTGTCGACTGGAAAACACACGAGGGATGGGTCTCTCTAGAGTTTTTCACTTTTTGGATGGGCACAGACGCTGTTTTCGATTCATGGAACATGGTGATTTGCTAGTGATTTGTGTTTTTGTTTAATGATTTGCCACTCATGAACATGGAAGCAAGGCAGGAGACAAACCCGCATAGTGTTCTTGCGGTGGCCAACATGTAGCTGTTGTCATTGATCCCAGACCATCGATGTATGGAATATGTTTAGCTCATTTGGCCCATTTATGATCCTACTCATTTAGGTACGGTAAAACTGTATAACTATTCCATGAATGGATCGTTTGGATATGTTCAGGATCTTCCGCAAGCTTTTACATGTTTTTTTGACCCTGCAGGAAGGTCATTTTCATGACGTAAGAGCCCCATGGAGTCAAGACTGGTCAATTTCCTGGCAAAAGGACATCCATATGCACTAGTGAGATGTGAAATTGAGGATATTCTGGGTTACAACCTCAATATATTGGCCTTGCAGCAGAGTTTGTTGGTTGACCACAGCTCAAGGCATGCAGTCACATAGATCCTTTTTCCTGCTACACCTCAGGAACATTATGTGACCGAAGAATTGCAGGTTATGTTGTTTGAATACATATGTTTGAATGATAGAAGAGTATGTAGCACCTCCAAAAATAAGCTGCAGAAAAGTTGGAGCATGGTTGATGTGACAACGACGCATAGCTTTGGATAAGTCATTGGATGTGTTAATGTGCCATCAACTGCTTATTTAGCCTAATAGATGGCCTGGTCTGTGTTGAGAATGAGGGGAGTCCAACTGCATATAACTGCTTAGTTGTGAACATCCCCCAAAAAGAGGCACATGGCTGAGATGTTTGCATATGTTTGCCTTCCAATTCGTTTCTAGTCCCCATGGTTTTCCCTGCATGTTCCGCTTTAAAGTCCCTGGTTCCACTGGTCCGGATGCTGACCGCGGGAACCGCGCGGGAAGCGCAGGGAACTTGAATGCTCCTTCCATGAATCTTTGGTCATGGTGCCTTGGAGGGAGGGGGGTGGAGAGAGGGAGAGAGGTCTGCTGCGATGTCTAGAGGTCCGGTAAAGGCTGCGAAAGGTTGAAGCTGGACACCAGACAGAGGATGTTTTGCTTAGATGTTCTTACCCTTGTATAATGGTTACTTCTGTTATGTTGCAATATTGGTTTAAACATGTTCCGTATCAGTTGCTTTATGTCGTTGAACAGACGCTTCTGGTGGAAACATTGGAGACGACCGAACATCATGCAGCATGCACTCAATATTTGTTCACTACTTTCATCATCTCTCACTATCCAAGCGATCCAAGCGATCCAGTGGGTCCGTGGGTCAAAAACGACACCTTCGTTGACCCACGGGTCTTCCATGAACAGAAGGTCAACGACCTGGTCCAACCGGGTGACGAAAGGGGTGTCCGGGTGCTCCAAAAGACATCAATTCGTTCCCTCCAAAGAACTCGACTCGGCGCCTGGCGCCCACCGCGATCACCGCAGGTGTGGTTGGCTCGTTCAACAGCGCTGGCGCCTCCTGGCGCTCGCCCCCTGGGCGGCAAGGAGTCGACCGAAGAACTCTGCTTGGTTGGCTGGGAAAGGTCAATGCCAGAGCTGCAGCGACGCAATCTGCACCAAGAAACAACGGCACCTAAGTTAGAATGGGGTTTGGGTCAAGATGCCACACGGCCACACGTGTTTCTGGCGTTGAGGCAGCCTTTGGACACAACCTTCAATAGTTTGAATACCTGATGTCCTATATGCAAAGGAAGATGGCCGAAGAGAATCCGACCAAGACAGCCAGAGACACCGCATACCACCAACTCTCCGCCGCGGTGGTACTGTGGGAAGATGCCTCAGAGGCGTCCCACTCCCGAAGCGAGGTGGAGACCCTCCGATCACCCGACCAAGCACCCGACCATCGCGGAGGAAACCAGAAGTACGTTCTAACTCACAGGTCGGCCGGCTTTTTGGGAATAAATGGGTGAAAGCTGTTTTGGAGAGTTCCCCTAAATGGAGTGTGGTCAACAGCTTCGGAAGCTTCGGAATCTGCTACACCTCACACACGGATCTCTTGGGGTCTCTTGCTGGCATCATTTTTGGGGAAAAACCCAAGGGCTGAGAAGGACCCAGCCAGCGAGCTACCGAGCCAACGTTTCGCGAGCGGCCGCGCTTCTCGGTCGGTCCGGCGGTTCTCGGACGCAGGGAGGCCTTGGCGCTGTGCTCTTGGGTCTACTGGTCGGGGCCCAGGGAGGCGGCCAGGGTGCGGAGCCTGGATCATTGATATGATTAAAGAGAGAATTAATATATAACCCAGACAGTCCAGACACGACCCATGGGAGTGCCATAGGACTGCCGAGAAACGGCCAGGGGTGGTTTAAAGCTATCCCAAAGAGGATTAATGGGACTGGCGCATGGGACTGGCATGAAGTTCGGTGAAATGAACTTGGGTGTAGTCCCCAAACACGACGCATGGGACTGGCATATATGCGGATCAATTGGACCCCGGAAACCATCCCCAATTGATCGGCAAATATGGCAGTCCCATGGAGTGTTGTATGTATAATAATTGGGTTTGGATACGGATCAACACCTGAGCCCAGCTATTGTAATAGCCGTATGATTCTTCAACCTAGGGCTACATGAGAAACAGACCAACAGTCTGGAGTAGATACTGGGTCTTCGTTTTGCAGACATGAATTGCTGCTATGCCAGAAACTGATATCAGCCCAAGAAGTGAAGTCTAATCTGAATCTCAGTGGCGTTGCTCAGGTCATAGCCTTCTACAAGGTGGTGAACCTTGCGAACAGTGGGGCGCTGAGATGTCAGATGTACCCGCAACCGGATCGAACTCGTCCGACGTCAGAACTCTGACCGAGCGGTTTGGATGTTTGAAGCTCCCGTGTGTGTTTTGGTTCTGTTCCAGGCGGATGGTTTTGCATGGTTTTGCATCAAAAGTGCACTCGTTGAGTTCGAGGAGGAAGTTACCTTATGACTGAATGTGTTGTTCTTTGTTGAGCAAAGCAGCAAACGAGCCAACCCTGCTCCAACCAAAAACAACTCCTTTGAGTATCCTAGGTGTCCAAGAGCTCCCGAGTGCTCCCGGGCCTGAGTGACTGAGGTGTTTTGGTGATGTTGCTGTACCTTTTCGCTGCTTTGGACTCTGCAGAGACCTTGGCACAGGGCCATGACACCATGCTGCCCAGGCAGGTCGACCAAATTCCCGGAGAGGTCGACCAAACAACAGGTGCTTAGGGAAGGGACAACAGCTAACACATTCTGACAAACTCATCTTCAGTGAATCTTTAGATCTGTATCCTATTCCCTGCATCATCCCAAACACAGATAGAGTTTACTAGACCAAGTCAAAACGATTTTGGGAAGACTAGCTGGATTAGCTTTTAATTCACGTAGTTTGCGATTCAGTTTCTGTGACTGCACGAAGATTGCGTGGAGGTCTTCTCAGTCAGGTCCGAGGAAGTCTTCTTAGGTCCGATGCCTGTCTTCCATTTTTAATTACCCCCTAGGGCTCCAGTCGTGCCTCCTCGGGTTCGGTATGACCGGACCCTGTAGACCACCCACCCCAGTCCCACCGAAACGAAACGAAGCTACGACTGAAGCTGGTGCCTTGAGACTGCGCTTGTTCGCACAAGCGGGGTCCGGCTACGCATCGCACACGCCCTCCCTTTGGCAACTTCACCCGACTGGGATGGTGTGAAAACAACTATGGGTAGTTTTCGGAGGTGTTTAGACATGACTCCAGCTTGCAGTTTCTCCCACCTGAAGAGTGGTTTCGATCCACCATCAGCCTTTTGACGTAAAATACATTCCCGTCAGACCAACATGAAAGAACAGGAACCATACCCCATACACTCTGCAGGATCTTTTTCCATACCCTATACACTCCATTTACACTCCATGTATGCCTACATGTTCCCCTTTTCAACCCTCATGATCGGTCGAGTGTCGTGAACACTGGGTACCTTGAGGCTCCCTGTCCTAGCTCTGACTGGGGTCAGACTTGACGCAGGAAGCTGGCCTTTTGGACCGTGGCCATGCTCTACCGTTACGCCTCCGAGCTTCCGGTTCTGGGCGTGTTCCTGAGGCCGAACCGAAGAAAGAGGGGATTCTCCACCGGTGTAGTGTCACCAGTGGACTGGACGTCGGGATCTCAAAGCTGTGAAGTCCGGATCTCAAACCAGCACTCCAAGAACCCAACTTCACAGGTCACCTGCGACTTGGAAGTCTGTATTCTCCTTTCTCCATTTCGGAGACCTGTTTTGGTGTAGACATGGCACGCAGACATGACCCGGGCCTGGGTCTTTTCGAGAGATTCATTTGTCTTCCATGGTCTCCTTAGTGACCCATCTGCTTGAAACAGAAGAAACATGGCATACATGTATCATCTTGCACCTACATCCTCCCATCGTTCTCTCTTCAGGCTCCTGCCTGAGCAAGCAAAACATACCAAGACTCTTCCTCGCAGGCTCTTGAGCCGGTTCCCCCCTCACAGACTCTGGCATTGACTTTCAGAGCTATTTGTTTTGCTTTACCGTCTTACCATGCCATACCCCCGCCATATCCTCCGAGGAGCTGCCCCCAGCTGCTTTCACGAAAATCACCTGTTTCATCACCATCCTCATCACTTATCGCTTTTGTGACCGACCTCATGACCCAAGTCCTCAGCTGCACTTTGAAGCTTCCCACAGGATGTCCTGGATCACAGCATCTCCTCCCCTCCAAAGCGGTCGTCGTCTTGCGGATCGTCTCGTCTCGCGGATCGTGTCGTCTCTCACCGCCCGCGCCAGGCTTTTCACGATCATCGTCTATGCATTGCTCTTGGTGGCCGGTGAAACGATCTTGAAGCGTGTGCCAGACCCAGCTCCTGGCTCCGCCTGGCTTTGTTTCTTCCCGTGCCTAAATTGGATGCGGCGGCGTGAAACACCATCCTTATGCCTGTCTTCACCTAATCATGTTTAAAACATGTTGAACGGGGAGTTAATGTTTATTTTGTGTTTTGGCTCAGGGATTTACCCACAGCCATGAAGGTCTCCTGACAACCACTGTTCACAAAACATATTATATATGCATTTATAAAGCGACCTCACGTCACTTTCTGAAGGCTTTTGGCAGTTCATGAGTTCTTGACCCCTCACGGTTCCGGCTGACTTCTCCTCATCTCCACAGTTGTCCATTCCCACCTGTGGCGCACCTGTGCTGAGTGTGTTGAAAAACTGATCCATTTCATGTGTTCCTAAATCAGGGTGCCCACCTGCTGCGATTGCTGGGGCTGTGTGTCGCGAGCTGTGTGAGCGCAGGTGGTGCAGCCTTTATTGGATTTGGCCCTGAAGCCCGTGGTTCGTGTGCTGCTGGGAGAACCCAGTGGAAACCAGGAGTTCTCCAGTTGACCAGGAGTTGAGGGAAGATGACGGTCAAAAGTTGTACCATGTACCTTGGGATCGAAGCATCAAAACATCTTGAGTGTTTTGGGGAGGGCTTAGGTAATTTGGGTGCTGCTTTGGATACAGGAACTACTCCACATACCACTCCTATGGCACCTATTTTTGAATCGATGAATGATGGAAGACAATGGAGTGTGCCAAAGGAATTTGGATCTGAACTTTCTCTACTCAAAGTGAGCTTTCTATTGTACTTAAGGAAGAAATAGAACCCTGATTGTAAGCTGCATCAAAATAGCCGTTCTTCCCATATGCCATAGCCGTTCTTTCCATAGATATCATAATTTGAGTCAGTGTGCTTCCCATGTTCCTATCATCCTTGAGCAGCCCTTCCGTTCAACTGATCCATAAGAACATGGTTCTGACAACTGCCATGGCCCAGCTCGTGTTGTGCAGATCAGAAACAATAGATCAACGAGCAAACCTTGGAAAAAGTGAGGAGTTTTTTTTACAACTTATACCAGAATATTATAAGCAAATTTGGAACTCAACCAAAAAGAGCTTGGCCAAGCCGCAAGCGTCAGTATGCTCGAAATCTTCAACATGATTATCCTAATTAGACCTGGATTTGATCTTTGTGGGGATGGCCTTCAATCACCAGTGTCCGGAAGATCTTGGACCATGCCATCCCCAAAACCCAGCTGCGCCAGAGGTTCCGGTGTTCCTCCGCTCAGGTTGCTTTTGACTCGGAGGATGTCCAGAGCGGCCAGAGTGGTTTGCTCCCCCTTGCGGCTGGCGAGGTTCGGGCGGAAGCGGATGGGGAGCCTACCTCTTCGGCCGATGTCGTTCATGATGGTGTGTGCCACACTGTACCAAACTGTATACCAGACTGTGCCACTGTCTTTCAGTGTTTTTGTTAAGTGTCATCAGCTGTTCAACTGTTCTATCGAAAAGAGTCGCTGTTTACAAGCTCATGTGTTCCCTTTACACTGGTTCTTGGCTGTGAGTGTTGGAGGGGCCCTAGTCTTATACAGACTCATTGCTCTTATATTGCTAGGCAATGTTTCTTGCCAACGCATTCGACGCATACGACACTTGTTCTTCCAAAAGAGACACCCATGCCGTCATCGCATCCGGATCATGGAGTCACATACGATGCCGACGGTTCCGTCCGATCGAACCGGTCAGGCTGTTGCTGATGGCTTTTGGCAAAGTGGCTTCCAGGCCATTTTGCGGGGGTGAGAATGCATGGAAGGCGGGTCAATCCCCAATCCATTTCCCAACTTGCAGGGTGTTTGCTCCGTTTGCCCGTTTGCTCTTCATCTGGAGTCCAGTCATTTGGAGTCTGAATAAGGACATGTCAATGTGTCAAGACTGAAACCTGATCAAGACTTCAAGACGTCAAGCGAGGTTCCCCAGTCGATCATCCTCTCAGAATCCGATATCCACACACAATCACTCCCCTAAGTGAGGGTGCATCTCGAGAATCTACACAGCGAAGTTTCTGACTGACCAATCGAGCATACAACGACGCTGATTGGACCAGAAAACATGACGCAGAAACATGCAGCAAATTCGGGATAGAAAACATGACGCCAAAATGACGCAGAAGCGACAAAAACAACGCAGAAGTAACAAAAATCGACACCAAAACTGTTTGTTGTGTGGGTTTTTTGAGCTTCGCCTGAAAATTGCCCTCACCAGAAAAAAATACGTCTTTTGCGGGGTCTAGGTATATATATAATGACTCATTATAAATCTGCATATTATTGTGTGTTATCTCATGTAATTTTTGGTCAACCCACCAAAACGCTGGACTTCTCACAGATTCCAACTCCCTGGGCTCTCAGGCAAGCAGATGTGGCCGAAGAGATGCCAGAAACTCGCCTAGCCTTAGACACCTCAGCAGGCGCAGCGCCGGCCGAACCGCCGGCCGAACCGCCGGCACCCAGCGCCGCACCCAGCGCCGCACCGGTCGCCCCGAGCCCCACGCAGAGCCCTCCGGCGGAGCCGCCCGGCGCCAGTTCGCGCCGGAGCAGCGCCGCCTCCGAGCTCGGCGCCGTCGGCGCGAGCGGCACCAACGGCACAGCGCCGGCGGGGTCGCCGGGCGTGCGGCAGCGGAAGAAGGGGCGAAGGCGAGGATGAGGGGCCAAAGTGCTGCCCCATGGAAGTGGAAGTGGTGAGCCACGTGTGTTAAAACAAGGGAGGGTGAGCCACGGTGAGCGCCCGAGAAGTTCGTAGGGTGCGGGGTCGGTGGAGTTGATGGGAAGAACAACCAGAGCTTAGAGTATATACGGTATACAATGTAATTATTACACCATAACGTTTGCTGTAACTATAGGCGACACCCCAACAACAACAACAACAACCAGTATACTACTACTACTACTACTACTACTACTACTACTACTACTACTACTACGACTACGACTACGACTACGACTACGACTACGACTACGACTAC